ACGGCGTGTCGTTTACGCGAAGAACGGTTCCGGAGCCCCTCCGAGCCCCGGACTGTCTCTCTCTCGATGGACGATGACCCGCCCTCGCCTATCTGCCTCGGTCTTTGCCCTCCCCGCACGCGTTATCATTATTATATTCGATTATTATTATTACTATTATCATATAATAATTATTAATTAATTATTATTCTTATCGTTATTATTTTTATTATTACTATTATTATTATTATTATTATTATTATTATTATTATTATGGTTATTACTATTACTATTATTATTACTATTACGTTTATTATTATTATTATTATTATTATTATTACGATTATTATTGTCTCTTACGTTGACTCAAGTTCCTTTTTACCGATAAAAAGACGAAAAAAAGCAGAAAACAGCCGCAGCGAATGAAACACACACGAGCAGCTTAGTTGTATCGCAGATGAATACAACGCGCATTCTACGTTCGACAGTATATATTTCCTTTCTTTTCTTTTCGATTTCTCGTTTGGTCGTCCGACCCCCAAGGTCCGTTTCCCGTCGTGTCCCACTTTCTTTTCTTTTCTAAGGACATGTATAATCCAGCATGTAGAGAAATACACGCAGTATTCTTTCATTTCTCTATACCTGCGAATCGCTTCTTCAATTCTACCCAACGAGCGCTTACAGAATTCTCCGCCATCGATCGTTCGCAAGTTTCGACTTTCCTGGAAGTCGTCGGAGGTTCTTTCGAGCGGCTTCCGTTTCGCAACTGGTTCGACGACACCGTCCGAGTCTCCTGATTCGAGGCGAGAATTCGTATCGGCGAGCAGAGGATTATTCTCGAAGAACGAAACAAGAACACGGAAATTAGCGTCGAGAAGATCGAATGTATTATACGTTGAACGAACGCGATACACTTTCGTCCATTGGTTACGATGTACATTGATTTCGTAGGGTCAGGGAAACGTTCGAACAGCAAGTGCCAAGTCGTTGAAAGAATTCAGTTGAACGTCCGAGTCCGTACGTCTTCCGCGAATACGATCGGAAACGAATCGGATCGTCGATGGTTCGTTTTCCGGTGCGTACGAAGGGACGTTACGCGAGTCGTATTTCTCTTTCATTCCCGTTTTCTAGCAAAACCGAGAACATTTGCGACGGATAAGTGTAGCACGTCGAGTGCCGCGACTAAGGGCTGTCAGATGTACGAAGATATGGGTTTAAGAGACGAATAAAAGAACGTACATACCATAATACGACTATTGCACCGGAAGTCTGAGCAGCCGATACCGATCGCTTCTAATCATTTCGATCCCGATCCCCCGAGTCGAGCCTCCAGCACTCCCGACGACTGCTCGTTCTTTCAACTCTGCGTAAGCGGCATTCTTTTTTCAAGTACATACTTTGCGCTTCAATTGGTCAACCCAGAAACATTCACAAATATTCAGGGGGAGTTGTTGAATATTGTGTTGCAGGTTCCCGGTGGGGGAAACGTACCCTCCTATAAAAGCCAATCCCCGGCACAACCAGGTTCAGTGGTCGTTCAGCTTAGGACGGAGTAACATCGCGTATCGCGACAAGTTTGTTAAGTTCTACAGTCCGAAGACCGCTGGCGCCATCGATGGAATATCTGCCAAGTTTCTAGCCAACTAGAGGGTTCCTGCGGTAGGTTCTAGATGGCGAAACACGGTTCGTTCCTTAAATAACCACACGGTAAATACGTATCGAGTAAACACTATTCGCTCTACCAATTAAACAGACTTGAATAAATATAACTTAAGTTACAGAACGTCTCGTGCATATTATTTCATGACCCTCTATATCTCCCAAGCTTCCTTTAAAGCCCGGCCAAGGTGTCAGAGTATCACTAAGAAAAATCCAGCAACAACGCTAACGAGTACAGTATGTTAGAAAATAATAATAACTAACAATAACCAACTCTGTTGCTATTCCAAAGCTTTACCTTTGGAATAAAGTTCTCTTTTGCATTGCAATCTCATGAAAAGAATCATTTTTCGATGATGATTCATCTTTAAACGAGCACCGCCATTCGCAGAGATGTTAGGTAAAGCTACAAAACTAAAACAGATCGCAAATTTAGGCCTGTACGAGACTTAAGTCTTGGAACAATGGCTCAAAAGCTCGAAAGCTCTACAGCCAAGTGGCTCAAACTAAAAAAGCTCCCAGCTTAGGACCTCTGGGGTGTAGAACAGTGACAAAAATGGCTCAAAAGCTCTAAACCTCTAAAATCTGAAGGCTCAAACTAAAAAAGCTAAAAATTTAACTCCCTGGAGAACTAAACTCTCCCAAAAATGGCTCAAAAGCTCTAAACCTCTAATTTCCCAGGGAGTTAAATCTCGAGCTTTTTTAGTTTGAGCGCCAACGCGTTTAGAGGTCTAGAGCTTTTGAGCCATTTTGGGGAGAGCTTAATTCGCCAGGAAGTTAATTTCGAGCTTTTTTAGTTTGAGCCACGCGATTGTAACGGCGTAGAGCTTTTGAGCCATTTTTCTGAGAGCTGAAATCTCTAGGGAGTTAAATTTCGAGCTTTTTTAGTTTGAGCCACGCGATGTTAGCCGTGTAGAG